AAGGGCAAACGCACTGGGCTAAGAACATAAACCTGCCTTTATAAAAACGCCCGGCATACGACAGCACCCTAAGGGGTGACAGGACGCTGGGGATGGGCTCAGCTAAGGCAGAGCTGCTGGGAGCCTGCCGGTGGGAGCCCCGGGGTGCTGGCCGCACAGGACCCTCTGCCCCGCTCCTGCCGGGTGAGCCACCGCCGCTGGGGAAGTCACTCCTTGCTTGTGTAACGGCCTCGCTCGGGACTGGCAGGAAGCAGCCAGCTCCCAGTGGTCTTAAAATAGCTGAGCATTATGGGCACACCCTTGTTTTTGAGGGCAAAACCTGAGAAGGGAGAGTGGCCATCGAAGAAGCCAAACAGGTAACTCCCTCACTCCCAAACGCTGCCCGTTCACGCTGATGGAGAGCACCCGTCACTGCGTCTCTCCAGCCCCGGAGCCCTGGGTGGCTGGGGCTGGCACATGGCGGCGGTGGTTTGCAACCAGGTGTCTGCGATGGATAATTTTTCTTCTCTGAGTTTGACTAATCACTTTTTAGCCTTGCATTAAATTCTCCATGTCCACAGTGCCACACGCTGAGGAATTTCAGAGTTTCATTTGACAGCATATGAAGCCGCTTTTGTCTGTCTGCTGCTGACCAGCCTCGTTCAGTGGTCCCGGCTCCTGCACCGGCCAGGCTGTGGGCAATCGCTCCCGGCCCCTCAGGGCAGCAGAAACTTCCATCATATTCCTGCTATCCTGTCCCGCTCTACCCTGCCTGGGCTTTGGTCCGCAGTGGGTCAGACTCATTTTGCTTTTGAAGTAATTCCCTGGATCGTGTTCATCATATGACTGTGGAGGGCAGGGGGCTCTGCAAGTCTCCCCTTGCAAACACCTCTGGGAAAAGGGGTTTTTCCCCCTCTGAGTGGCCCCAGCACCTTCCCCCTTTGCAGTCCTGAAGCGTGGGGTGCTGACCCCCCCAGTATCCTGCAGGATTCACGGAGCAGCTACATCCTCTGCCCAGGAACAGACAGCAGGCTAACAGCCAGGTAACCTCCAGCTTAAGGACAGCCCCTGGCCTTGCTCAAGGGCTGGGGAGCAAAATCCAGGGAAACAAAACCCTCAGGCCACCCCACAGGTGAGTGCAGGGGGGTCCCTGCAGCCCAGCATCCCTCTGATGCCAGTGTCTGGGAATGGAGGGGTCCCTCTCCCACCCTGGGGACCGTGCATTGAGAGGAGGTGCCCGATCCTTATCCAAGCAAGCGGTACTTGGCACCTTGCAATCCCCAGGAGAGATGCACCACTTGGGGTTATTTATTCGTTCCTGGGGTTATTTATTTGTTCCTGTCTGTTCTGCACTGCCTGGGTGGGTAAATGAGAATCCAGCCCGTGGGCTGAGAAAATCACCATCGCGGAAAAGCTTCACCCATCCCTGCAGCGAGCAGGATCTGGAAAACCTGCAGGGAACACAGTGCAGAGCTACCTCCCGCCCTGGGGTGGTGTTAGCAGACACAGAACAGTGCAAGGCGTTTTTTTGCCAGCAATGGAAAGCAGACCCGCCTGGGGCCGCAGAGCTGCTGCGGATGCTGGCGTGGTGCCTGCTGCGTGTGCTCACCGAGGGGCTGAGACGAAGCCTCCCCCTGGCATCCTCCTGCCCCTTCCAGGCATTGCAAGATCCCTCTGGATTATAAACCAGCACCTGATGGGAAACTTGCTGCAGCTCCAGGTTCCCTGTCCCCACTCCCTGGTGTTCCTAGGGGAGCACATGCTTTTTGAATATCCTGAATTCACCTGGTTTCAATTTCCAACCCCTGAATCCTGTAAGACTTCAAGGGGGATGGGGCTGCATCCAGCCGGGTATGCAGCCTCCTCTTGGCCGTCAGGCCCTGTCCATGGCTTGCAACACACATGATTGAGTTTCAACCTAAATTTTGCCCCCTCCACTGGTCACGTCACCACTGCCTCAGTTTCCCTCGCTGCCAAACACAAGCCTTACTGCAGGGCAGGCAATCCACACCAGGGTGGTGACACTGGGGCGGGCGAGGACCAGGCGCTGCGGTGGTGGGATGCAAAACGGGATGCGGCATGTTTCGCGGCCATCTCTCTGTTCGCACAGTGAGTCAACAGGATCTGGGAATTCTCCATTTAAAGCGCGGGATGTGCGGTCCTGACCCTGCTGTGCCACAGGCAAAACCACAGATTAAATCCTCCTCAGCTCCCTGCCTGGGACAGAGCTGGAGAGGGAGCACCCATGCTCCCCGGTGTTCAGAGGGAGCCAAATACCTTTTCAAGGGCTGGTTTTGCACCAGAATACTCCTCCCTTCCACTGACAGGGAGAGGCACAGCACGCTCCAGCCTGGGACATCAGGCTGGCCTCGCACCTCCAAGCAGAGCACGGCCCGAGAGCCACGACCCCCAGCCTGACCCGGGGCACCCCATCATGCCCAGGGAGAAGGCGAATCTGCTGCCAGCGATGCCGGGGTGGGGGATTCCCCTTTGCGGGAGCATGTCCCTCCCCACTGCCTTGAACAGGGCAGGGGGAGAAGCACATTTCCCTGCTCAGCAGCGTAGGGTATGGGAATTTAATTCGGCCAGGTCTGAAGGCAGGGAGGGCTGTATAAATAGAAAGCATATTTTTACAGGCTGCATTGTTCCAGGCACGGGCAGGTCAGGAGCACAATGAGCCCCTTTCCCTCTCCGCTGGCATTTTCTCCGCTGCACCTTGGAAAGGCCCCAGAGAGTAAACGGTAACTCCTGCCAAACTGCGAGTTTTTGCAGCCACAACAAAGCGCCTGAAAATATCGCAGCAGGCAGCAGGAAGCCCTGCTCAGGGTTGGCTGCTGAGAGGCTCCTGTGGCTGGCTGAGCCCGACCCTGCAGCCACCCTCGTGGAGTTTGGGAGCCAGCCAAGCGCTGCCCCAGCATCGGGGTGACTGGGAGGCACTTGCAGAGGAGCCAGGGCCCGTGTCTACTCCGGGCTCCCCACGGACACTGGGCCCTGGGCTGCTCTCCAGTGCCAGGGAGATGGATACATCCATCAGCCTCATCATCCATGTCCCTGCCCAGCCTCCTGCCTTTCCCAGCCACGAGGGCAAGGAGAAGGTGCTGCTTTCACTCCACCCTCCTCCCTGCGGAGGGCTGCAGGCTAATAAAAGGCAGCGGAGAAACCACACCAGGAAGAGCAGCTTGGGTCTCACCACATCCCGCTGCTCTTGCTCCCCACTGCACCAGACAGGGGTTTTCCTGGGATCAGGTGAGCAGACAGCCCATGGGAGGCAAAGCAAACCAATGCTGAAGTGCGCTTGCATGGAAACCCAGCGACCACTGGTCAGGTAAGGATCAGAGCAAGGCAGTGACAGGCCACATCCTTCCCAGCTGGGAGGAACACAGAACCCCTGTCCCCTGCCAGCAGTGAGCACTGCCAGCTCCATCATCTCTCTAGCAGGAGCCAAGGATCCTAAGCTTTGTACAGCACAGGGGAGACCAGCCCTTGCCCTCAACCCCCCCACCCTCTATGCTCCTTGTGCTGAGCAGCGCTTGGGCACCCAAGAGCAGCCCCGCTTCCCCACGGCACCCTCTGCACACAGCTCCAGCGCCAGCAGCCCTGTCCCGGCCTCAGCTCCTCTCTTCTCCACAGCCACCCCTGCTGCGCTAGCTCGAGCACTGGGCTGCGATTAACCTGCTTTCGGCTGGAGTGGGGACATGGGAAAAGGCTTCCTGTCTCCTGAGCGCACACAGCAGCCTGGGCACTGAAGATCGATGCAGAGAATGTTTCCATCAGCAACACGGAGTAAAGGAAAACCCAAACACTCACGACGGCCTTCTCCATGCTTTCTGGTGCACCTGGCTGCAGCATGTCCTGGCTCTCCGCGAAAGCAGCCTCTTTGAAGGAACATGAGCTGAAAATCACCTTACCCTGAACAAGCACCATCCCACTCCCTCTCCCTGCCAGAGGTCAGCCTGGCTGTGCCCCTGGCTCCTGCTGCCTCAGGTCACTTCCCATTGCACTAAAGCAATGGCCTCCACTTCCAAGAACGCTTGAAGAGAGCCCAAATACAAACACTAAGCCACATTCCTGTTGTTCCCACTAACTCACAATGCAGCCAAGGAATCCCAGAAAGGATCTTTACCCACTATCTGCAGCTACTCCTCAGAGTGAGGGCAGGCTCCTAGGCTTGCTGTGCAGGCTGCACATGGACAGGGCTTCAGCAGGGACCAAGCAGCTTATTAAAGGGGAATAAAAGCCTCCAGGCAATTCGTGCTGGGGTTGAGAACAGGAACTGTGCAGCTCCAAAGAGCTTGGAGGGTCAGGCTGCTGCTATTTAAGTGCATTATTCAAGACAGTTTCCCCTGCAGGTGCACAAACCAACCCAGACAAGCACACTGCCACTGTGGGAGCACAGATGAGGGATCTAGGAACCAGGTGAGCCAATGGACCACCTCAAGCCCCAGCATTAACATGAGCTCATGAGCAAGCAGCAGGGTCGCAGGCTGGTGGGACAGCCTGGTCAGCCCTCTGTGCCCCTACCAGGGCTCCAAAACACCCCACGCTGTGTTGCTGTATGACCAACTTCTCCACCCATTGAGGGTCTGGCTACATGACCATACAGACCTACCACAGACCAAAGAGCCACCATGACTCAACACAATCAAGCAGCAGTGAGTTACTCAAAACATTAGGGTAGCTGTGGAAAGCCTTATCCTTTCCAAAAGCCAACCATGGCCAGGTGCTTCATTCCAGATCACTGGCATCACAATGAACCCAGCACATGCTCTCAACTCACCCCTGATGAAGACACAACTGCTGGGTCAATCTCAACCCACCTAGACCTTGCCATGGCTTCAACATCCTCTTTGCAGCCCTGTTCAAATGAGAAAGGCTCAAGCATCTTGCTATGGAGGCAGTACCTGCTGTATGGGGGCTGCAGAAACAATGTGGTGCCAGGCCCACCATCTTCCCCCCAAACGAGGGACCTAGGGGACCTCATGGCACAGGGCCAGAGGTGAAAGAACACAGAGACACCAACACTCAGTTAAGTTGTAGGAATTTATTTTAAATAACCTACAGTTGGATTAAAAGGGAATTCATGATAAAAATAGAAGATACTTGTTGAGGAAAGGCTGCAGGAAATGGTCTTCGCACACACACTACGCTAACAATACCTCTAAGACTAATGATTATAGCAAAAAAAGGTTTCACATTAAAATTCTGCTTTTTAATTTTTTAAAATTTTTTTACACAATTACAAAAGAAAAAATAAAAGCCCTAAAATCTTGATTATTTTCCTTTTTGGACCAATGCTCATTTCCCTCGAAATTTATTGACCTGTGAAACTTCTTTTTACACAATAAAATCTTTCAAGTAAAAGAGGGGGAGTGGGGCTTAGAAAAAAAGGGGGGAAAAGGTAAAACAGTCTGACAAACCTAAAAAGTAGATATTCTTTAAGTGTACAGAGCATGTTCAGAACAATGGGTGATGGGAATGTCATTTGTTGCCAATTTCACTTGTCCTCAAATTCCACACGCATCTCCCCATCACGCGGCCCCCTTCCCCCACCCGCTCCCCAAATCTACGCGATCTTTAAGATCAAGAAGAAAAAAAAACTGTTTAAATATTTTAAAATAATTAAAAGAAATAAAAATTCACATTTAAAAAAGGAACACTCAAGTCAGGAGGCTGATTTCCCATCACGCTTTGCTCTGAACAAATGTGGTGGATATTTGTAATTCATGTTCCAATCCCATGACTGTTTCAAGTGACAAATTGAAAAAGATTGGGTATTTCCATGACTATAGTGACAGCTGTAACAGGTGCGTTGGGTTTCTTAAATTTTGTTTATTTGTTAAATTCTGAAATGGGGCAGGAGGGGGAGGGGAAGGGCAGGGATTAAGGAGTCCATTTTCTATTAAAATATAGAAGTTATTGCAAAACCCTAACTGTAAAAACGCACCAATATAATTGGATTTTGTATACAGTAGCTAAAGATTCCCACGCTCTCAGTGTGATGGTGAATTTGCCTGGCGGAAGGTTGACAAATCCCCCATCCACTTGCCCTGCCTCAAGAAAAAAAAACCACACAAACCAGACAGCTAGAATTTGGATCTCTGAAACATTTTTAAATAAGTTGTCCATAGGACAACTGGCTCAGCTCCTTTAGGATATTTCCAGGTTATGCTTTCTGCAAGATGTTGGCTGTTTTATCTGATGCTCACTTGCCCCTTTCCTCCTCCTTCCCCAGCATCCAAGGACAAGTAAGGCTCACAGTTTATCAATCTCCCTAAAAACCAGGCTACTCCCCCTTTTTTTCCCATAAAATTCAGCTCATTAAAAACAAGTTAAAACTCATAGTCTTCCTCTGCCATGTCGATAGCCCAGGCAAATTTCTCTCGCTGGGTTTTGTTATAAATCTTCTCTATAGGAATTCCCCACTTCTTACACCTGCAGAAGAGGAGATGCTGTTAGAGTCAACACAGCACAGGCACTCAACAACCCCTCACTGTGCAGCAGAACTGCCCTGCTCTCCCCCCCAGCACCTTCCTAAGCTCTGCCCCATTCCAAGACATGCCACTCAGCTGAGGACAACCAGCCTCCCGGTGTTAGACCCTGCAGGTTCTCTGACCCATCACCTCCCAGCACAGTGCTCACTTTGGCTGGCATGTTGCACTTGCCTCAAGGGACTCTTTTATAACTTCCTGAAACCATCTGAAGACACAAGGGAAGGCCACAGACAGACTTCTCTGGCATCCCTTGTCTGCTAACTGGGGGGACAAGACAGAAGCAAAGGGGTGGTTCCTTCCAGCACACCCCAGGCAGATGCTTACCAAGCAACAGAGATCCTGGGATCCAGATAGTTGAGTTTGGAGGTGCCCAAAGCGATCTGCTTGTTCTCCTCCCTATCTGTAGCCTGAACCTCCAGCTTCATCAGTTGCTCCTCAATCCTCTGCACTGCTTTCTTCTTGCTCTCCACCGTCCTGGGGTGGGAAAGAATCAAAGCATTTAATTCCTAATGCCCTGCTAGGCTTGAGATGGCAGCACTGTGGGAACCCAAAGGGACTCTGCTCAAGGTAAGCAATGCCACCAGCCACAAAGGGCAGCTGTGTCACCACAGATGGTGACACAAAACACTCAGCACATGCAATTAAGAACTGACATTTTCCAAGAGGCAGAGCAGAAATCTTAAGCAGCAGTTTTGTTTTAAAGGGTTGGAAGCGACAGCCTGAACTGTACTGATGCTACACCCACTTTAAAACCAGCCCATCTAGCCCTCCGTAATAGTCATGCTGTGATTGTGCTTTCAGAGCTCCCTTAACTCAGCACCCCTGTGGCTATTTTGCAGAACCCACACAGAGTCTGAGTACATTGTCTGCACCGTGGGCTTCCAACGGAGCACAGCATAACCCAGAAAAGTGCATGTGCAATTGTGTTAACTCCTGGCTCCTCATTCAGACGGCAATGTTGCGCACTGGATCCATTACTCTGCTTGGTGCTGGGCAGCAGCGTGGTTGAGCACTGGCTGGTGCTCAGCTCAGAGGGCTAAGAGACACAGTGGAGACTAATACTAGTGACCACATCAGGAACTGCAGTGTCAGACCACCCTATGGTCCTCAACTTGAAGACTATTTCTTCATGCATAGAATAAAGAGGGGACAAGAAAGCCTAAGGAAGTTTTCCCAGATCACAGGCTGGGGAAACAGAATACAGGGTGAAGGGCCCATTTGGAGCCGAGAGTACTGGGAGCATTGCATAGCCTAGTAACATCAGCCTTACTTTTTAGACTTCTCATCTCTCCGGACCTTGGCATCAGCTTTGGCGCTTTTCAGTTCTCTCCTGGCATCAGCTAACTGCTCCTTCTTGGCATCGATCTAGGAGAGGCAAAACCAGATGGCAGCACTGTGAACAAGCTGCTGACAACTGTGGCAGTCACCCCTGGGCAGCATGACCCAGGGAGTGAGTTTGTGACCACATTCAGAATCTACCAGCAGTCAGACCCACTTCTGCAGAACAATTAGGCCATTGGCCTTTCAGTTTGCTGCAAAGCCTACTGTGGTGAAATATTCACCCCAGAAAACAGAGCCCCACTCATTTCCCAAGACAAGGTGGTGCTGGGAGCTTTCTCATACACCTACTAGCAAGCAGGCAAAGGAATTGGTTTGGCCTGGTACTGGCCAACAGCCCCTCCAGGCAGCTTGTCTGCCTCCACTGTATCCTGTCAGTACCACTATCTAATGGTAACACGATAGGATGAACCCTGTTCCCTCAGCAGGAATCAGTTCTTGCCCCAAATCCTACAGGCTGAAAGCTGTTAAGGCTTCAGGCAGTTCTTCTCCAGTAAGTTTAGGATTCAGGGAGTTTTAGCATTTTGCAGCCCCTGTTCAACCATTCCCCTTAAACATCCCCCAAGCTCTAAGATCTAGGGTGAAGGCAGCCATGTTAGGTGTTACAGAAGCAGGGGACACTGCAGTGCCAAACCAGAAGTCCTTATTTTGAAGGTTAATCTAAAGCCAGACCAGGAACAGACCTAACCCCTTTGGACCTCATGGCCTTCACCAGAAACAATCTGCAAAGGAAGAGGTCAAGTCAGAGGGGCCTAATGTACCATGTACACAGCCTGCACTGACAGTGGCCTGGGATTCACACAACATGAGTGGATGCCCACTCCGGGTTCTTTAGGGGACACAAACCGGAGCTAGAGACTGCTGCTCTGAAGTTTCAATGGCAGCAGAAAATATAGCTATGGGATGAAGGGCAGACAAAAAGGGTCTGGTCTTGGTCTTTACAAGTATAAGATGAAGTATCAGACTGAAAGGTGTCCCTTTGAGCTCACTACTCCTCTCCAAGCAGGCCCATCTCTGATGCAGGAATAACCAACTCCTCACAGGGAAAACCAGACTCTGCTTCCGTTTCACTCCAAGTGAAAGGAATCGTGACGCCCAAGATGCTGCGCTTGGAGCCCTGCCCCAACGCAAGAGCTGGGCAAGGGTGGGGGTACCTTGCTCTGCAGGTTCATCATGGACTTCTCGAAGGTCTTCGGCGGAGCCCTCTGGTGGTTACACAAAATGGCAACCGCTCTGTTGGCACGGTTATAGGAAAGGATCTTCGCTGGGATGTTGTCATCCGCTGCAAAGTACAAGAAAGTGGTAAACAAGTGGGTTCTCCAGGGCTGTGCAGCCCCAGCCAGTGTCCCACTAACTCTGAAAGCTCACAGTCACTGCAGAACTGACCCTCCCCTCTGACAGGCTAGTCTCAACACTGCACTCTAATTACACTCCAAAGAGCCTGACCACTTCCATCCTGGGCCCTAACTCTTTCTGGGACAGTTTCTTCGATAGCAACAAAGACACCATTTGCCACTCAAGAGAGGGGAAGCACATCCGTATTCAGAGCAGACGACAGCAGGATCATACTTCTCAAGACACTGTCGGGCTTCACATATCCAACATGCCCACTTTGTAAAGTTGTTAAAGTACAAGCTAGCAGTGCTTGACAGAGAGGTTGTGAATGAGCAGCCAAGAAACGTGGGGCTGTTACAGATGCATCTGCCTTGCCTGCCACCTGTAACACTTTACAATTAACAGAAAGCAAGTAAGAGACTTGGTAAAGGACAGGCATAAACTAGCAGGCACACATTGGTGTGCTTGCAAGTCAGTTCTGTCCTGTCCCAGTGATGGGCTGCTCAGCTACCCCAAAAGATTATCTGGCAGCAGATTTTTGGTCAGACCTCAGCTGTCCGACATTTGCACTGGGAGAACTGCAACAATGAAGTGGTGTACAGATATAAGGCTTGTGGCTAAGCCAAAGAAGCCAGCTCTGTATTGCAGGATAAGATCCGTCCCCCTCACAGTTTCAAGGACAAGACTTACGATTAGTGAGCTCCTTGAGCTGCTGCTGTAGCGTGATGGAGGCATTGTAAGTACGGAATACCTTGGCTGTCAGTCCCTCCATAAGGTCTTGAAGGTGTTTATTTAAGATACTGGTCTAAGGAAGCAGAAAGGAGATGACAGCACTAGAATTGACCACAGCATTTGTGAAATCTCTGGACACATGGCTGATGAAGACATGCAGCTCACAGCTGAAGCCTAGCGTACTCAGACCTGACCACAACAGAACGGCCACAACATTACTGAAACCACAGAAAAGTAAACAAAGAACCAACAAGTATTAGATTGGTATCAAGTACCACAAGTGGCCAAAAAAGTTTTCTTCAGTGTGGAGGTTTTGATTCCCAACAGGTATAAATGTGCCTGTCCCATCCCAGGGAAGGTACCTGAACCACCACAGTGCTCCCAGAGAGCCAAATGTGCAGTTGAGGATGGCACGTGAAAATCTGTCACCTCACACAATCGTCATCTCCGAACTCTGAAAAAACCTCCCCAAGTCAGAGCCAGCCAGGCTCACCAGGACCAAAGCCCATTGGCTTCAGGAACCTGTGGGCACAGTGGACAATACAGACACAGATTGAGAGAGACTCTCACTGCTTTTAGGCCGCTCAGGCCAGCACTGGAAGAAAATTGCCACTGAAACCATTTCTGGAACAGAGCAGCTGTTACTGCCTGCTGCAGAGTGAGCCTGTTCATGGTGCTCTACCACCACCCCTCACCATTAACTACATGCTTACATTGAGGCGGTCAAAGAGGTCATCCTCAGGCTGCTTGTTCTCCATGAAGAGCTGAAGATTCTTAAACACCTGCAGGAAAAGAAAACCGGTAACTTCAGGCACGCAGACCAGACAGCACCAGGTAGCAGTAATACATAAGGAAGCAACACTGCCAGGGAGCCACTTAAACTCTTTTCAGGCAACAGTGATGATGCTGGACGTTACTTCTCAGCAGGCAAAGACCCTTATCTCTCAATACAACGCTTGTGTTGAAGGTTCATCCCCAGCAACGAGAGTCCTGAGCATTCAATGCCCTTTATCCTCATCCTTTAGATCAAGATTGCAGGAGACCCAATTCTGCTCTGGCTTAGCTGCCTAACGGAGAAAGAGACCCCAAAACTACTACTTTTCCCTTACTCTCCATTATTACTCCAGCCAAAGAAACCCCTGAGCCATTTCCCATGGAGTGAAGCTACCAAACCCCAACCCTTCTCATTACTGCATTAAACGTTTCATACAGCTCCATCCCAAACAAGTCTCACTGGGGTAGAGAGAGTAAACAAAGTATCTTTGATTATACAGAGACCACAAATCCCAGCTCTGCATGCTCCTAATACCCAGTTCCCAGCTTCTCAACAACACACGTTCTTCTTCTACAGACACCTAATATACAAAGATTTCTAATTCCACAATAATCAATACCTCATTGTAAGCACTGAAGAAGAGACACCAAGAGATACCAACACCAATAAATTTAAACAGGAAAAATGTTTTCTCCTTTAAACAAGGAAGTAAGAATTCCAGCACATGCTCATTCCTATAGCGGCCACAGTTTGGTTTTTTTTCAGTTGCTTTGCTCCCCAGGAGGCCGACATTGACTGCTGATGTTACAATTACCACAGTATTTTACATACAGTATCTAACATACTATGCTGACTGCAGAGCTGTGTGGCCCAGATGCAAAGCTGTTAAATCCACAAAAACAGAAGTGTTTTTGGATAGTGCCCTCCAGGTTCCCACTGCTGGGTGGGGACTTATGCTGCAATGAGGTCAAGATCACAGCAGATTTGAAATTGGTGGATGACAAAGAAATAAAGCAATTAACATTGCCTAAGAAAGAAGTCTTGGTTGGTAGATACCCAGGTTCATAGGCCAGAAGTATCAGTGCACCTACTCTGTATGCTCTGGAGCACCCAAGATCAAGACCTACCTCAGTGAGGGCTCAGCTCCAACATGAACAAAAACACTGTGACAGAGAAGCTAGTATCATGACAGCCCAAGTCAAATTGCTACTCTAACAGCACTGTCCAGCACTGTATTTCAGAACCTTTTATGCTATTACTTGTCATATGGGCCTAGAACTCTACCATCTAGAGGTGACAAAACCAACTCTGCTGACCAAAGCCAAAGAAAGCCAGCTAACATAGCTGTTACAGCTATGTTATGCCAGCTCTTGACACTGAGACCACAGGGAAGAGCTGCAAGATGTTTAAGTATCTCATCTGCTGGGTTATGTCACACCACCAGCAGGCTTATCTTCCATGGCACTGCCAATAAAAAGGGAATAACATTAACTAACTTATTTTCTGGCTAGGTATCTGACCTGTGACGAAGCATCCTGTTATTGCCATCAAAAAACTGTGTTGACTACATTTTTCTGCAATTCAGTCTGTGTATGTGTTCATGGAGATGCCTTACCCTCTTCTCAACAGGGACTTTGTTGTAGTATCGGATGGAGTCTTTTCCTAGGAAGTCAAACTCAACCACGTATTCCTGGCCATCCAGTTCAGGATGCAGCTTGATATGTTCTACTCTCAGAGAGCAGCAGCCCACGGTGTCAGCTGTCTCTCCTTCTTCTTTTTCATTACCAGCTCTCAGGGCAAGCTACATTTATATCAAGACAAGAAAGGTATGCATTTCAAACCATCCCAGTAACGTACAGATGCTTGAAACTTTCAGACACTGGCCTACAATCAGCAGTGTCCATAGAAGAAGAGAAAGGGAGAAAATGCATTTGAATGAATAAAATTGATACTTATAAAATTCTAATATAAACAACCTTAAGTTCTCTTTAAATCTGTTTTAAATAACCCTATACCAAAGCCACAAATCTACTAATCTACCAGAATACCTTGGTTTTTTTTTAAGAGATGTTTAAAGCAAGATGTTTTACCAACTTTTGCTCATTAAGTAACTCAAACTGTAAGACAGTTCTGACTAATGGAAATCCATTTCAAAATGTTTGATATTTTTTAAAAATCAAACTGACTTCCATGTGAACTCAACCCGATACAAAATCATGAAGTTCAGTTGTTCATCTTCTATGATCCTACCTCTTCACTGAATGCTAAATGAATACAGTTTAAACAGCATATAGGACACTTTGGGTTATATAAATTATCAAAAGGCTACATTTGGCTGCATAAGAAATGTGTTTTAATAGTATTGGTTAAACCAATTTCTAATTTTTGAAGAAAAACCTTCAGTGTTCATATGAAACCACAATTATTCAAATCAAAGCTCCCTGGTTTACACCAAAGCATTTTGAACAAACTCTGTTAATTTAGTTGGTGAAGACACCATACGCTAGCAGGGCAACAGCTCTCTGGGAACTGGTTTTAAGTAGCTTTAAATGCCTCAATGCAACTGCAGTTTTCTTTACACTGTGGTGAAAAAATTAGCATAATTATGAAACCTCACAACTGTGACCTCAAACTAAAGAGGTGACAAACCAGCAGAAATTCCCAACAGGAAAACTGGAACAGCTGGAGACAGAAGGACCACACAAACTTCCCAGTAATCCAACTGGGTGATTCTGGAACCAGGCTGTGAGTTTTGCCTGAACTAAAACAATGCTGCCTGAAATAGCCATGTTCAGTACAATAGTTTATTGCTCTGAATTCCAGGTAATGGGAAGGAAAAGGAGACGGAAGCCTGCCCACCAGGAAGTCTCAGGACACCTTAGTAAATGGGCTGAATTCTGCCTTAGGAACAGCATTCCCAAGCATTCCCAGCAGGACAGGAATGGTAAGAGGAGCGTGCTGGGGAATGAGCCTTACCTTATCAATGAAGTACAGTGCCACAGCTCTCTGCCGTACTTTCATCTCTTTGGATTTCCAGTCTTCTCGATATTGATTTCGGATTTTATCTACACACTTCTTCAACCTCCGAGCTGTCTCATACTTCTGCCAGTCCTTCTCACCCTGCAGAGAAAGTTAGAATAGAGTCAGCATTAGAAAGCAGGCAAAAGACCAGTTCCAATCTGCATCTCAAGGCTTTACAAGTCTGTGTGTGGCAAATGGTCTCACTGTACAAAAGCACTGAGACTTTCCTGCTGAACAGCTCAGCTTCAAACTATGCTGTCATGCAGCTGTAGGTAATTCAGATTTCCATGATATTAAATGCTTCCACGGAAGCAACTATAAAGACACAAAAGATATTATGTCTTCCATGCTTCTCAACATATAAATGGTTTCCTCTGCTTTATTCAGATGACACTTATGTTCTTTCAGCTGTGTAATTAAACACCCATAAAACGTAAAAGCAACATAAACAGTTCATCATTATTATATATTCAAGCCATGGCAAAAGGAGGTCATGAATTCACAAGGAACAGAGATTTTTCCCTATACTTGTAAGACAAAGACAAACTCCTTGTTTCTAATACAGGAAAAAAATCTCTTAAAAAAGACTTCATGAGAAGAACTTAAATCCTACTCCCGAAACTGAAGGCTACTTATCTTTCAACAGGTTTGTCACTGCCTTTATGGAACTGATCTGTTGACAGGTTATTTGTGCCCACAGAATGGTTTGTTTTCCTTCAGTCATGAGCTCCTTATCAGCCTTCTCAGCCAGTAGCCTGGCCACGTTTTTAATTTTACAATGGACTAATTACCAACCCATGGTTAGAACTTCACTACATGATCAGGCAGGGGAAGTTAGGGCCAAAAGCAGGTGAAATATCCACCAGAGCAAGTCTATTCTTGGATAAATTGCTTCCTTTTAGGTTTCCACAGGGTAATGGATTTCTACTAGGAATAACACAATGATTCTTTTCAACAGACATTTTCCAGATTCCATCTGCTCCTATGCAGTAATTGTATTCTTTCTTTTCAAGGGGAAACAGAAGCACAGAAACTTTCCAATGTTTGTCAATCAGTGTAGGATGAAATAGCAAGACAGCTTTACTTCCTATCTCTCTCCCAGCAAACAGCTACATTTGCTTCTTGGAGACACGACCAGTAAGATTTTTATTTTTTTTTAAACTAGACCTTTACCTTAATTCTTGAGCTAGGGTTCAACATGATGTATTTGATAGAGCCTTGGATGTTCTCAGTCCATGACACCAGCCAGGTAACCTTATTATCATGCCGGACCTCCTTCCATTTGTGTCCTGGTGGAGGGGGAGGGATCTTGGAATCCCTGCAGAGAATTACAAAACAGCAAATAAAAACTATTTCAAGAGACTTACACAGCATCAAAATGAGAAAGTAATGAATACCATCACACGAAGAAAGCACAGGAAAAGAAACTGAGGCAACATAACTACATATTTCCACAAGCAGGAAATCAAGTGAATTAAAGTGAACAAAGATCAGAAATGTAACTACTACCCTTATGTATCTGCTGAAGAACTATACTATAGGTGGGAACACACCTGCTAGGACCAGCTTTGATCTGTGGACACTGCAGTAGTGTGGACACTTATCAGGACAAGACTGAAGAGAAGCCCACTAAACCTTAGCCCTCGACATCAAGGAAGACAAAGTAGGGCAAGCTACCTAGAAGAAAATTAATTTCTGGAAATGCTAGCAGGAAAGACTGTGTAAGCAGATATAGACCATAGGCATGAGGAAGAAAATATGTTGACAAAGTTCTACATGAAACCCATGACAGCCTTGTTCAGCCTTTGCCTGTATTACTCAGTTTCTTATCCATATAAGAGTAAGATAAGCAGCATGCATATTTCTACATGCTTGACTATCAACCTATATAGGATTTTAAAAAAGAAGCTATCCTATCTAGAAAGCAAAGCCAAGGTGTGAAGCATCCAGTGCTCACTTGCTGCAGTTAATGATGATGTCTTCTGGCATGATGCGTCTCTTCAACATGCCCATTTTGGGATGGTTCCCACGACCTCGGAAGAGACCTGGGGGTTCAATCTTAAAGTTGGCAATCCTTTCCTTGTGGTTGTCCATCACGCAGTAACCATACTCCTTCAATAGCCGCTCATTCTCCTCTTTGATTTTCTGGAAAAAGCCAAAAGGAAAGATGATATGGTATACCCAGCACCACATATATCTCTAATGCCAAGACTTAAAAAATTTTTCTATTTGCACCATGACAATGCTGAGAACTCAAAAACCAGATCCCCATCATGCCAAGTGCTGTATCAACACACAGAGCAGCAAACTGTCCAGAAAAGCATTCATAAAATGCAAGCAGCACAAACAGGAAAAAGGGAAAGAATGTGTGAAAACTCTCTTAAAACTTGTATTTGAGGGAAATAGATTAGGGCTGGTGAAGACAGCTACAATTTTGTCACAATAGAGGCATTTACCTCTATCCACATCTCACAGCTACAAGGGCAGCCCCAGCACAGTACTGCTGCTTTATAGTCTATATTCAGCATTTATATCCACCAGACTTTACATCCTGTTGTTTACGCATAAAACCTCAGACTTGTGTTTGAGCTCAGCATCGGAAAGCAGGCAAAGAAATGTCTCCAGTCTGCTGCATGTCAAGCCTATGTCAGTGTGCTGGTTTTCGCTGGGATAGTGGCTGGGATAGAGTTAATTTTCTTCATGTATGGGACTATGTTTTGCGTTTGTGCTGAAAACAGTGTTGAAAATCCAGGGATGTTTTCATTACTGCTGAGCAGTGCTTAGACAGTCAAGGCCTTCTCTGTTTCTCACCCCACCCCACCAGCGAGTAGGCTGGGGGTACACAAGAAGTTGGGAGGGGACACAGCTGGGACAGCTGACCCCAACTGACCCAAGGGATATTCCAGACCATATGATGTCATGCTCAGCATATAAAGCTGGGGGAAGGAGGAAGGGGGGATGCTGAGAGTGATGGTGGTTTGTCTCCCCAAGTAACTGTTAGGTGTCGTGGAGCCCTGCTTTCCTGGAGATGGCTGAACACCTGCCTGCCTATGGGAAGTACTGAATGAATTCCTTGTCTTGATTTGCTTGTGCATGCAGCTTTTGCTTTACCTATTAAACTGTCTTTATCTCAACCCACAAGTTTTCTCACTTTTACCCTTCCGATTCTCTCCCCCATCCCACCAGGGGGGAGTGAGCGAGCAGCTGTGTAGTGCTTAGTTGCCAGATGGGGTTAAACCACGACAGTCAGCAAATGGTCTCATAAGCAGAACACAGTCTCCTAACTAAAAATGTGCTGAGATTTCACTGCATACTTCTCTGCTTGAACACTAATTATATAGAAGGAAAAATAAAAACATTGCAGCTCAAAATAAAACATCTGACCCATAGACAGCACTAGTGCACCAGCTAAGAAACTAACAGAAAAAGCCACTTCTGCTCCATTGTAGTTGCTACCATGGATGGGAACTGACAAGGGCTCACCCACACGTTTATCACATGGGAACAGCAGTAAGACATGGGCCCTCTATTTTGATGGGACCCCTCTGACCCCAAAGGCCATACTTCCAAGTTACCAGGCCCCTCACTCAAAGGACAATTAGTGTAGCATTGCAAAAGATCAACCGAGAACTTGGGGCAGGTTTCCAACTTCCATTGCAGTAAGTATCAGTCATCTAAAAACTATTTCATTCTCTCCCCACAAGCCACTATAGCCGTGCTACTGGAAAATAAAGTTCATTTTTTATTCAGAAAACTGCATGACCTGATATTTAAGATATGTTCTCATTTTATTCACTAATGTCATTGCTGCAACGTTTCCACCATCCCCAATTTTACCCTCCAAACCAAGGAGCTTCTACAATTAAAATCTACCCTTAACTGAGTATCCACTGCTCATTATTGGCCAGGGACCAAGGCTCCCATGGAGGTAGCACCTCTGATTCTCTTTATTTACTTAGGCAGGATCAGGAGCCTTAGCCCTATCAATATCATTTTAAGTCAGGATGAAGATTCAGCTGTAAACACAGTGCTTTGTCCTACCTGGGCTGCACAGTAAAGATTCCTATGGTTAACATGAAAGTAGTAATTTGAAAGCTAGTAAACACTGGCTTATAAACAGCAAGGCAGGCAGAGGAATGATTACACAAAGATGTTTATAGCCAGCTAAGAATCAAGAAGTCTAGAATTCCCTCTGGTACCTGTTTCTCCTCCTTGGACATCTGTTTCCTAGCTTCCGTCTGAGCTTTGAAATACTGGCTCATGTGGGTGAAGTCACACTTGCTGAGGTTGGTGATAGTGCTCTTCTCTTCAGAGGTCATTTCCTTGCAGAAAGAAAGTAGCGCTTTAAGTTTTCATACATAGTAAGTTTTCATGCATAGTAGAACTTACCTTACCCCAGGCAGTTTAAACAAGAACAACAGACAGGTTCTCACAATAAACCCCCAAGAATCCCCAAATTCTTGCACATGCTCACTCCAGCTAAGGTCAAAGAGAAAAGAACAAGAAGCAGAGAGTATGGAGTGCTGGCCTTCCAGCAGTCTGATCTCTGCAAGCGCTGGGCAATGCTGTACCACCTCCCACACTGAAGAGTGGCTGGGACTGTTGAGGGATAGGGAGAAAAATCCAGTAACCCCTCTAGAAAAACTGCATCAGCTGATGTAAAGGTTTGATCTTATGGCTGATGACTGAGGTGAAGTTTGAGTTTTAGGTCTTTGGAAGGGGTTTCCTTCTAATATAAAGCTGGCGCTTCAACAAGGCATGTAACAGATCAGCTATACCCCATCACACTGTAACAGGCAGATTTGGTTGGGAGAAATCTGACTTTGTTGGTTTAGAAAGGTATTTATGATAAGGTCTTTCCTGGTGAAACTACAGGATAAACTGGAAACTTCACAGCTACGATCTGAGACAGCTTTTAGTTGCCTCAGGCTGACTTCCCTGTGCATGGAACAGTAGCCTCTTTTCACTGCCCAGTGATGAGGAGACACTGGCCATGCCTGCAGTCATTGCAGCCCAAGACTATATGCATACCTTTCTCCAATCTTTGAAAAAGTTTTTCCTGAAGATCTCCTTTGTAGTGTACTCATGATCAAGCATTTTTGCAAAGAATGTGGCGACTTCTTCTGCTTTGGTACTCAGCTTCATGACTTTACCTACAAAGAAAGGTTTTCTTTTTAAAGAAAATGGTAAACAGGAATTGAAGCCAGAAAGAGGCCATAGTAACTACCTTAAAGGACACTATATTTTTTACCACAGAGAAGTTTTTCTTAAAAATATTACATAGTACAGCAAATTGGATGGACAAAGGAAACAGAGGAGCACAATTGCTTGACTTTCATCATAAACATTTTGAAAAAAGTTTCCTCTGGAATCTAAACATAAAAAAAAAAGCACTAGCCATGTGATGTAAGACAGGTCTGAGAGACGAAGGGCAGGAAGAGGAAAAGGCTTCCTGCAGGAAACCCTATGCTGAGACACCCCAGTGGTGTGTACATTCCTGGGGAGATACTGCTGTTTGAAGTGAAAGATGGAAGGGTTTTTATTAAACTTCATATTCCGGCACTCAGATGTATGGAAAATACAGTCTCTGTATTCCTCTTCTACCCAAAGAGGGACTCTGCTTTGGAACACCCCTTCTAGCATTTAGCTATTTCTAGCCAGGAAGAGCCCTTCCTATGGATACACCACAAATAGGCTGGAAAGCGATGCCAAATATTTAACTCCCCTTCATTGCAGAGAAACGTGTCAGGGTTCTGCTAATCATCCCCTTTGCTGTGGGAAGGCACTCCTGTGTCTCCAAATCAGGCTCAAAAGCCAGTAATTTTTAAGAAAGACTGAGCTTTCAGTGAATGGAGAGGCCACATTTCAGCTTATCTGCAAGACTGCAGTACAAAGTGAAATTGCTGCAAGGGAAGACTTTAAAACACAAGGGAAAAGAGGCTGCTGCAACATCGAAGCTGTGGATTTGACATCTAACATTCCTATCGAGCGTCTTTTTGGTCCAGATTGCATTCCTGATGACACGTGAGGTGCCAGTGATCCCTGTGAAGAATTCTGCATGCAGCTCACATCTCCAGCTAGTTGCAAGAAATATTTAAAGTCCCAATGGGCTGGCATAAAGTCAACACCTGTGGATTTTTTAACAACCATTTTACTGCACAAAAGTGAATACAAGAAACACTACTGTTGATTATATGCTCTTGGAAAAAACCCCCACACTTTTGATTTACTACATGTTTTTAAAAGTTGCATCATCTCCAAAATTAAAGCATGGGACTCAGCTATAAAGCCTTAAGATCTATAAACCCTTGTAAAACAGGACTTAGCAAAAGGTCCTCCCAATGATCTGAGAATATTCCACAATTAAATTAAAACAACAGTAACTCTGCCAATTTTTAAGCTGCAACCTAAAATACAGCATTTGTTTGCTTATTACAGGAAATGGGGGAAGGGAGAGACAGCAAGGGAAACTGTTTTTCCAGGCTACAAGTCTAGCTTGAAAGAAGCTATCGAGTTGGTAACATGTTATGGGGCTAAAATGACTGATATTTTTCCCAAATAGCTGAAGGCTTGGTCACCTTTATCTAATCATTTTAGAATATAATTCATTGGACTCAATTTCCTCCTTTTAACAAAGGTTTAAAAAGGCTCTCAGTGACAGGGCTGGACATTTAAAGAAAAAAGAGATTTATTCCAGAGGCATGACTATTAGTTACTGACTTAAAAACTGAAAATCAGAGAGCAACCAGGGGAATAACGAGCAGAAGAGACCACATGGCCATGACTGAAATGCAACTGCCACCATATACACTCTTACCTTGCCCCATCTACAGAAACACATGCAAGTTCATGCCACCTCTGGGGTATGAGCAGTAGCTTGTTAACCCACAGTCACCCAAACATATAGTCAAGCCCTAAAAGATATCTTTGGCATTTCAAGCTCCTTCACTGAGTCTGGTATTGTAGGCACTAACAATAGCTCCAACAGTCATTATGTTAGATGAAAACAGGCAGTCTCACCGCAACGCAATCACTAGGCAAGGGACAGATTCCTCCAGTGACAGCCTGTAGCCTGGCAGCTGGCTGGCCAGTCATAGCATGATTATTGGACTCTACAAATCATCCTAGGATAATCTTGAAACTAGACAATGCCTTGTGAGCACAGACAGCAGCTCTCAGCAGCTGCTGTGTAAATCAGACATCTGATTTTTTTTCCTAGTTTCTCAAGGAATACTTACATGACTGCCTTATTTGCCAGACCCCCCTGCCCACCCCATAATTGTTGAGCCTATTGATGAATGTCTGTCATGACAGAGAAAGAGGCTGCAAAAATCCCTGCATTTCCTAGAGGCTTTTTGTGAAATAGATGGTTAGATAGAAGCTTATTGCTGCCTGCCCTAAAGGGATAGCTGCAGTGTCATTTGCCCCTCCTCTTCTCTAGACAGCAGGAGATACCATACACTCTTCATTAGAGGAAAAAAATTTCCAACTTCATACCAAGTTCTTATCAAACCCTAAGAAAGAAGTCTGTAGACATCCCTGATCACTATGCTACTTGCTTGAAGATAGCCATTAATAGGATGCAGTGTGTTTATTTTACTACAGTGTTGCTGAAAATGAATGCCACCTATTTCTCAGTACTTAAAACCAGTGTCATGTCACATGAAAACAGCACATTGCTCCTGGAAGAGTTCCATGTGCAGATGTCCCCTTCACCAAAAATTATGTTTTCATCCATTTAAATACCTCCCACTTAATTCAATCCTGGGTTAATTTGAGCCTTCATTTAACATGATCACAGGACTAAAAGGAAACACATGGGTCATCAAGTCCAGTCTCCAGCAGGCATCACATCATATAATCCCTTCCACATGAGCCTCTAACAACCAGTCAGCCTGGCATATCAGAATCCCACACCAATTAGTTCTACCACACACAATGGTTAGTGAGTGGGACCATGACTTACACCAGTGGGCTGTGTCCTTGAGGCCAGGGTCATCCCATGCATTCCTACAAGATCCTAATCATCTGTATCAAAATTCAATTGTCTTTTATTCCGCTCATGCCACCAAATGATCATGAATTTCATCACAGATGATGGAAGATGCAATTTATAAGGTCAAAGAAAAGAAAGCAAGCCTAAAGGTGACCAGTGATGAAGCAGCTACAGTTATGTACTCTACCAGCTATACACTGCTACTGTCAGGTGTAAGACATTCATACTGTCAAGTAACCCGAGAGATTTACCACCACAACAGAGTGAGAACAAGCTCATCTCCATGTCAACTCAGCAGAATTCAGCAGGCTGTTCCTTCACTTCCACAGATCCTTCCTTCACTGAGCTGTTGAGGAACTTCTTTTAAGCTAACCACTAAAACAAAACCACCTCCTCATCTCTTCAGTCCCCGGAAGAACGCCACAATACCCTGAGAATGTTTATTTCTCTTCCCAGCAAGTGGAAACACAGATTAACTCACCATCATAATAAAACTTGACATTTTCAGGCAGAGGTTCATATGGTGGAGCAAATACAGGACCTTTGTGCTCTAGGAACTTCCATTTAATGCCTTCAGGGTAGCGCTCTTCTTCCCACCTTCAAGAGAGAAATATGAACCAATACAATTTAAGCTCCTAATCTTCATTTTATTACTATGTGGGTATAAGAGTATGCTAAAGAAAATCAGCAAGCAATCATTGCTTTGCCAGGCACAGACCTAGTACAAATATTCAATGCACTATCACCATTTCTTTTTAATTTTTTTAGAAAAGCACAGCCATGTCCATGAACAGAACACCGTGGGTCACAGATTATCTGATGACACCATAGCCCTCACCTCCCACTTGCTATTCTTTTCACAAAATCACACAGCTGAAAAAGCTTAGAACTTAACAAAATGAAGAATTCAGTCTTGTAAAGCAGCTAGGATCATGCCAAATTAGAGTCAGCTGTGATCTAACATCAGGTCCAGGATGCCTGCTCAGCAAAGCCAAACAATTGTAGTATATTATGCAGCTGCTTTCAGATGTGGACAAGTATGCCATTAAGGGCAGAGATAAAGAAACAGATGTTCATTTATGACCTAAATGAGAACAAACCTGCTCAGACAAGAAAGACTGAAACCTGCTCTGTCATTTTAAATTCATTCCAATTCTTTGGGTAAGAAAAAGATACTTGAAGAAAAACAGAGTAGCACTGGAAAACTGCAAACTTGCCTTAAAGCACCTCCATAAAAATGTTTTGCAAATGATGCATTAGGTATCACAACACAGCAAGTTAGGCGCCACCAATCCCGCATTCCAGCTGAACAAACTCACAGGGTCAGCAATTCATCTACAGAGAAAAGGGGTCCCACCAGGCCAGTATCCTCCCCCCAGTTCCCAGTACCCTGTGCCCAAGACACTGATTCCACACTCCTCTCCTCCCCTCTACACTTCTTTCATGATTACCAGAACATTACTGCTACATGCTGCTGGCACAGGATTCCCTGCTGAGAAATGCTATTTTACCTTAGTGATTAACCAACTGGAAGACCATTAACCTGTCACAGCACTCAGTCTTTGAATTGCCCAGACAACTTTGTCGAGCAGTCATGACAATAAAAAAAAAGTTTAAGTTTCCCTCTCGTGTCAGCCCTATGGAGCAGTCCCATTCTGGGTGCAACAGCAGCTGAGAAAAGATGTGCATGTACTGCATGCATGTCAGGAATTCTGATGCACAAATACAGATCACTTCATCCCTAATGAGATAACAGAGTCACTGTACAGAAGATGAGCACTGTATAGAGAAAAAAAGAGCTTCTGCTAGAAGACACACAAAATGCTTCAATGGTGCCTGTACATCAGTAATTTGAAACAACAACAACTGTATGCGACACAGTGCTTTGCTATAGTTAGAAAGGCACCATCTTTGACCACAGCGCTAGACCTGACTTTTTCTTATGAGAAGCACAGTAACATCTTTAACAGCAAAGTGCACAATCCCAGCTATCAGTACAAAACCTGCATGTCAGATTTCAGTCCCTGGCTGGGAAGAAGGCTTGAGTAAACTATGTTGATATAAGAAACTAATATTTACATTTGAAGTCTAGATCACAAATATTTACATTCCTAATGATTGTTTTTAAAATTAATTAGAAGCTAGAAATCTAAATATTTTGTCAAACATAGGCCTAGGTTCTTCCACCCAGAAGCTGCTTCCAGCAAAATAAATCTAAACCATTTGCCTCTCCTCCCAGCCAGAAAAAGGTTATCCTCTCTGACAATGAGTATTTTTATCCCGCTAAGAAAAAAACAATGAGGTAATCATTCACAGTAGCTACTACTCTAGACAACAGGTTTGTGATTCTTGCTTTTCAGCTGTGGCTTTTTAAGACTTATCACTCTGGTATTTACTTGATGAGAAATTCTGTTCCCCTACCCATTCATGTTCTTTTACAAAGGATGCATGCAAAACGAGTACTAGAAAGGTCGTAGTTTAAATAGCTGAAACACATTGTGCCTTTTGGGACAGCTACAAGGAAGCATGGGATCCACAGGGTAGTTTCTAAGCCCAAAGCTACCAGAAGGTTTGCCACAAAAAGATCACAAACCATTCCCAGTCCCACCTTCACCTTCCTAAACCTTGTACATAAGTGTTAAGACAAAGGTAAAAGCTACCCTCTTAAGGTTAGCCAATCTTTCATCCTCCTTTGGTTTTAAACAAAAAAAGCACTACAACAACACCGCCCAAGGTAGCCCCTGGTCCTAAAGCAACGTTCTACAAATGATTTTGTGGGAGCAAGAAGAATGCTGCATATTAGGAAAGCTGCCTTACTGATTTCAGCAGAAACTGCGCTAATCAGTCATACATGTTCCTCAATCAAATCCCGTATCAAACCTGTCTAAGAATGCCAGGGTGGCTCAGGAAGGTAGAGTTGGGGATGGTTTTTCAAGTGGAATGAAAATAGAGGAGATTCTTAGGAAGAAAACAGAATACACCTCAGCGATACGTTATTTCAAGGAAATGAACTTGCTGTAACACAAGGTGGGAGAAGTGCTCATAAGGTATACTTCTGGATCACATATTCCTCACATGCTGACAGGGCGTGAAAATGACCTCTAAAAGAGCTCCACACGGTGATGAACGAGGCCAATGCCTTGGGAATGTCTAGCATCGAGTATTCACATAAGTGAGGATGAAAATGCTCAAGGCAGCAAGCACTTGAGGAAGCAGCCAAAAAAAGATATCAGACATTCAGAAAATTGACTCAGATGGAACATAAAATGCCCTTAAGAGATACAATTGAAGTGCAGATTAAACCCTGTCCAGCAAAGACACGCTATACAAAGCTGCAGATGGACAACAGGAACACCAGCAGAAGGATGCAGTTACCTACTGCCAAATTTTGCAAAACATGCTTTCAAAGGCAGTTTTCCTCAGCAGTAAGCACAAATTGCAGAGCTTAACACAGCTACCTGGGACTGTGCTGCCAAGGCAGGTGAGGGGAGGACAGTATGGCCTTCCAGTAAAGGTTTGCTGTTGAAGGATACAGACTACAATAAAAGGGAGCTGTGATAACAGAATATTAAGTTAGACAGAGCCAGCAAGGGCAGCTGAGACAAAGCCAAAAAGACAACAGATCGTTAAGGCTCAAAGAGACATTTTGTAGCTTCCTATTGCTTCATGTCCCGGTAGTTTGTTAATGTCAAAGCACATTAAAAATATACTATCAAAGGGATCAAGAAAAAAGTGGATTGCTCAAAAAAAAAAATCAGGATAGTTTTGGGGAGGGTCCTGAAAACCAAATTTCTAAGAGTATACAAGTATGAAAAAAATATGCAAGTGCTCATGTTCTGAGGAAGCTATGACAAAAAGAAATATGCAAAGACTATAAACACTACAGAAGAATTTTTCTTTTTAAAGGTGAATCAGTAAAAGTGACAATAAAGGGTAAAAGACTGAACCTGAAAGGATTGAAGAAGATTGCAAAGGCATTCCCCAACCCTACAGATCTATTAAAAATAGCCAAATGATCTGAGAAAAGAAAACACTCATGGTAACATCATCCCCAAAAGGTCATAAAAATACATCACAGGAGATTACAGGAGTGCAGAAAACACATACGCTTTTGAAAACCATGTATGTGTTAAACTGAGGGAAGTACTAAGGCCCAAACTTCAAAACACACAAGTAATTGCTCCTCAAATCCAGCAAAATGATAGCTTAAATTACTGTGAATAGTTAAAAAAAAAAACCAGCAGGTTTCTTACAGAGCACTACTGATGCAGCACAGGCCTGTCTTCCAAATGAACCACAAAGTTCAGATTTATTTAAAAAATTAAGGTTCTAAAAAAATTGAAGAGTGAGTGGAAGCACAACTTCAGTTACTCGACGATGTTACTTTAGGATCCTGGGCAAGACAGAAAGTGCTTTCCATTCAAAACTTATTTTCAAAATACATTTTCCAAACAGCCCAAGCTTAACTGGTCACTTGACCAATTTTCATTTTTGTGCCAGAGGCAGGAACAGTTTTGAGAGGCTTACAGCTGATACCCAGCTAAAAGAAAAAGGTAGACACCCTCTCACGTTGTACCCTCTACATAACTAGTACTCCAGTAGATCTTATCTGTGTTAATATATCTGCACATATTTATATATTCCAGCTGATACTCCAAGCCCACAAGTTTTCATATTGCTCTGAAGAGTGTCAGCAAGGAGCAGGTTCTGGGTACAAGAATACTGGTATCTGATCACTGTGGGTAGTCTCTACATTCTACAGATAAGAGAAAAAAAACAGCAAACCAAAACAAAAATCCCACAAAAAACTTATTTCTTGTTTTATATACACCAAAAAAGGTATTTCACTTCTACTTCGGAGGATAAACACAGTGAATAAGATATTTATTTAGAGCTTACCAGAACATAAGCCAATTATTCAGAACAAATCCTCATGAATCAATGAAAGAGAAAGCCAGATGTGCTTATTCAGTCAGCATGGGAGGTAACAGGGAAAGTCCAGGTGCAGAGCATACCCTAATTCATTGATATATAGTTACCATTTCCATTTTTGCTCCTCTTCTTTTTTCGGCTTCTTTCTCTTGTCCGCTTCAGGGACTTTCTTATCTTTGTTTTTTGCTTTCTTTGCTTTGCTGTCCTGCAAAATAAGTAAGAAACTGTTAGAACTAGCTACTGTATTTCCCCTCTTGTTGAAAAGATGTTTTAAAACTAAAAGACTGTCTCTTGGGGTATATAAGTTTGACCACAAACAACTGAATTACTGTGGCTTCACTACATAAATGCGCTCTTAGATCATCCTATTAAGTCAAAGTCTGCCGACAGTGCCACTCAGGTTTTAAGCCAAATTCCTCTACTTTACACTTGGGACATGCAAAGTGCACACAGCCAGTTATTCTGCCTCACCTGATTAAGTGGCAAGTTTGGGCCATAGTAACATGGTTGCTTAGTTATAGAAACACCCTCCTTGGCCTGCACTAGTGTATCTAATTTGGCAAATGCTACAGAGCACACTTACACCGCTGTGAGGTGGCTTCTGGGAATGTACTGGTATATGCTCACTATAAAGACATGAATTAAAGAATTAACCGTGTTGCCAGGATGTACTTGGAACATGTGCCTCACAAGGGTATTTTTGCTAGATGTGAAGTGTAGTTCATTAGTCTCAAATTATGTCTCACCTCTCTTCGCCAAGTCCCTCTCCAAAGAAATTTCCATCCTAGGCTCCATCTATAAGCTGATCTCAGATTCATCTCCTCTGCTTCTGAACTGTGCCACATCATCTGTGCAATTACCAGATGTTGTTAATAAGGCTCCTCTACCCTCTGTGAGCTACTTAACAGAAGGACTGTGAATTGCCTGGAACAGGCTGGAAGTTCGCATCCAGAGGGATCTTCTCCATCCATTGTTTTAAGGGTAAGAGACAAAGTTTTCCTGACTTTTTATACATTATGGCTCAGATAAGTTAACCTGCACCATAGATGGAGATCTACCATATGCAGCTTTCTCCCAGACTGGCACCTGCCTTTTTACCCTTGAATCAGATTCCCCCTGCTCTACATAATTCAACACAAAATTGTCAGCTTTGCTTTTGTTGATCATAGAAATAAACTTGTCTTTCACGTTACCTCTTCTTCCTCTTGTTTCCTTTTCTTTGCTTTCTTGATGTCTTCTGTTTTGATTTTCTTGGGCTTGTACTCAGCACTGTAAGAAGAAAAAGACTAGCTGATGAACATAATCCATTTTCCAGTACAAAAACCAGAAGTCACAAACATACAAAGCTTGTGTGCAGAAGTTCACAATATTTCTGGCATGTTTAATTTCTAAAGAATATAATTTTATGCCCCAATGTCTGAAGACTGAATAATTCACATCCAGCAAAACAGCCCCTACAAGTTTCAGACTGCTGAAGCAAAAATCTTCTTTGATGAAGAATCGATTCAAAAGCATTAGTAATCACCTAGTGATTACACGGGATGAGATAAACGGGTGTCCTGGGTTCAGCTGGGATAGAGTTAATTTTTACAGGAACCTGGGAGGGGGCATAGCCGGGGCAGCTGACCTGAACTAGCCAAGGAGCTATTCCATACCATGTGCCATCGTGCTCAGTATATAAATGGGGAGCGGGCTGGGGGGACCTCTCTCGACTTTCAGTGGGGGAAGTGGCGGAGCGTTGGGTTCCGGGTGGTGAGCAGTTGCACTGTGCATCACTCTTTTTGTATTTTCTTTTATTAGTACTGTTACTGTTGTTGTAGCTTCTCTTTTTGTGTTGTCTCAGTAAATTGTCCCTATCTCAACCCTCGATGTTCCTTTTTTTTTTTTTTTTTTCTTCTTTTCTTTTCTCCTTTCTGATTCTCCTCCCCATCCCACCGGAGGGGGGTGGGAGGAATGAGCGAGTGGCTGGGTGGTCCTTTGTTACTGGCCGGGCTGAAACCACGACAGTCTTTTTTTGGCACCCAACGTGGGACACGAAGGGTTGAGATAACGACAGATCTGGCCAGAGCGTGTTGAAACAAATTTGTCATATGCATTTCTTATATTAGATAAATAGATGCTAGTCACAATGTTCATTCATTTGTTTACATGGTGGTGTTTTGTAAGTTCTTATATGCTCTATGTATTGCCTGTAGTTGCGTTTCTCACCTCTGGGAGAGTGATTGGGATTATCTTTTTGCTGTACTGGGCAATGTCGACTTGTGAAATGATTACATCACGAGTCATGAGGTTAAGCTGGTATCTGTATGTGGCAGTGATAACATTTCCATACTTCGGGTGCCTTCTATCAGAATTTATCGGTAATCGCACCCAATCCATGGGGAAGTCGGGGGGGATACTTCCCCCGTCCGTTCGCCTCCCTTTTCTCCTTCTGACTAATTACAACAGCTTTTGAGAATTTTGAATATCCTTGGGATGAGCAAGCCAGTGTGCTGTTAGTGCTGTGTCTCCTGAATATGTTTCAGGTCTTTAGGGCTACAAAAAGGCTCTTTAAGAGTACCACCCAGAGATCTGCCCCAAGGCTGGATATTCATGGGTGGCATGGCATGTGGGAGGATATGGGCAGGTATCTAGAGAACTTCTCACCTCCAGTGGCTTGGAACTTCACTCCTGAACAACTACAGAACCCTCATAAAGTGGTAGAATATTTGAAAGGAAAATGCTGTGGCTATTTGAGAGACACACAACTTACTGCACTGTGCTGGGCCCTGGCCGGTATCTACCAAACCCTGCTTGATACTATGCAGCACCCCCAGGGGGAAGAGAGGGAAAACAGAGTGATGGGCACTGCGGCTACCCCAACCCTGGCGACGGGCACTGCAGCTAAACCAGAGAACCAACCTGTGCCAGTATCAGTCGCCCCTGTACAGAAAAAGAAACACACAAAGAAATCAGTTTGCTTAGTGAGAGATGAAAGTGAACCAGGGTCATCACAAGAACAGGAGGAAGAGGCAGAACCTGAAATAATCACCCGATCTCTATCCCTGAGTGAGTTGTGTGACATGCAGAAAGATTTTGGCTGCCACCCAGGTGAGCACATTGTTACCTGGCTGCTCCGATGCTGGGATAATGGGGCCAGTAGTTTGGAATTAGAGGGTAGGGAAGCCAAGCAGCTGGGATCCCTGTCTAGGGAAGGGGCCATTGACAAGGCGATTGGGAGAAAAACACAAGTCCTCAGCCTCTGGAGACGACTTCTGTCAGGTGTGAAGGAAAGGTACCCCTTCAAGGAGGAAGTTACATGTCACCAAGGCAAGCAGACCACCATGGAGAGAGGTATCCAGTACGTGAGGGAATTAGCCGTGCCGGAGGTGATCTATAATGATCCAGAAAATGGGCAGTCACCCACAGATCCAGATGAAGTCAATGCACACAACCCACGTGGCGGAAGTTTCTGTGAAGTGCACCACCAACCTATGCCAACTCATTGGCAGTAATGTCCTGGAAAGAAGGCTATGGACAAACGGTGGACGAACTGGCTGTCCAACTGTGGCAATACGAAGGAAGTCTCCCTTTCTCCCTATGGGCCTGTGTCTTGGCTGTAGAGGAATTGTCCCAGGAGTTCCAGCAATTCAAAGTGGATATGTCCTTCTCCCCACCTGTACAGGCCTGCATTGCAGCTCTTGGGAGTAAGCATTCCTCTGCCCAAGAGAGAGGAGAGAAAAAGTACACATGACGGGCTAACCTGTGGTTTTACCTGCGTGACCATGGAGAGGACATGAGGAAGTGGGATGGAGAACCTACCTCAGTCCTAGATGCATGGGTACATGAGTTGCGAGAAAAAGCAATCAGAAAAGAGGAGTCTTCTTGGAAAAATGCTGCTCCAGTTTCCCGTGAGCAGTCCTCCGGACGCAGTAGAAGGGCTGATCTCATTTCTGATCCTCTTGAAGGGACTTCTGATTCACGTGTGCAAAAAGTGAGTAACGGATACTCTAACCAGGATTAGAGGGGCCCTGCCTCCAGCCAGGTGGAGGAAAGGGACAACCGGGTCTACTGGACGGTGTGGATTCGATGGCCTGGCACATCAGACCCACAGGAATATAAGGCTCTAGTGGACACTGGTGCACAATGTACCCTAATGCCATCAAGTTATAAAGGGGCAGAACCTATCTGTATCTCTGGTGTGACAGGGGGATCCCAAGAGCTAACTGTATCGGAAGCTGAAATGAGTCTAACCGGGAATGAGTGGCATAAACACCCCATTGCGACTGGCCCAGAGGCCCCGTGCATCCTTGGTATAGACTATCTCAGGAGGGGGTGTTTCAAGGACCCAAGAGGGTACCGTTGGGCCTTTGGTATAGCTGCATTGGAGACGGAGGAGACTGAACAGCTGTCTACCCTGCCTGGTCTCTCTCAAGACCCTTCGGTTGTGGGGTTGCTGAAGGTTGAAGAACAACAGGTGCCAACTGCTACCACAGTGGTGCACCACCGGCAATATCACACCAACCAAGACTCCCTGATTCCCATCCATAAGCTGATTTGCCAATTGGAGAGCCAAGGAGTGATCAGCAAGACTCGCTCACCCTTTAATAATCCCATATGGCCCGTGTGGAAATCTAATGGGGAGTGGAGACCAAGAGTAGAGTATGGTGGGCTGAATGAAGTCACGCCGCCGCTGAGTGCTGCTGTGCCAGATATGTTAGAACTTCAGTACGAACTGGAATCAAAGGCAGCCAAGTGGCACGCCACAATTGACATTGCTAATGAGTTTTTCTCAATCCCTTTGGCAGCGGAGTGCAGGCCACAGTTTGCTTTCACTTGGAGGGGCATCCAGTACACCTGGAATCGACTGCCCCAGGGGTGGAAACACAGCCCCACCATTTGCCATGGACTAATCCAGACTGCACTGGAAAAAGGTGAAGCTCCGGAACATCTGCAATACATTGATGACATCATCATATGGGGCAACACGGCAGAAGAAGTCTTTGAGAAAGGGAAGAAAATAACCCAAATCCTTCTGAAAGCTGGTTTTGCCATAAAAGAAAGTAAGGTCAAGGGACCTGCGCAGGAGATCCAGTTCTTAGGAGTAAAATGGCAAGATGGACATCGTCACATCCCAATGGATGTGATCAATAAAATAGCAGCTATGTCTCCACCGACTAGTAAAAAGGAAACACAGGCTTTCTTAGGTGTCATGGGGTTTTGGAGGATGCATATTCCAAATTACAGTCTGATTGTAAGTCCTCTCTATCAAGTGACCCGGAAGAAGAATGATTTTAAATGGGGCCCTGAGCAACAACAAGCCTTTGAACAAATTAAACGGGAGATTGTTCATGCAGTAGCCCTTGGACCAGTCCGGGCAGGACAAGATGTTAAAAATGTGCTCTATACTGCAGCTGGGGAGAATGGCCCTACCTGGAGCCTCTGGCAGAAAGCACCTGGGGAGACCCGAGGCCAACCCCTGGGGTTTTGGAGTCGGGGATACAGAGGATCCGAGGCTCGCTATACTCCAACTGAAAAAGAGATATTGGCAGAATATGAAGGAGTGCGAGCCGCCTCAGAAGTGGTTAGTACTGAGACACAGCTCCTCTTAGCACCCCAACTGCCAGTGCTGGGCTGGATGTTCAAAGGGAGGATCTCCACATCACATGACTGACGCAACGTGGAGTAAGCGGATCGCACTGATCACACCACGGGCTCACATAGGAACCCCCTATCACCCAGGAATTTTAGAAGTGATCATGGACTGGCCAGAAGGCAAAGATTTTGGAATGTCGCCAGAGGAGGAGGTGACACGTGCTGAAGAAGCCCTGCTGTATAATAAACTGCCAGAAAATGAGAGGCAATATGCCCTGTTCACTGACGGATCCTGTCGCATTGTGGGAAAGCATCGGAGGTGGAAGGCTGCTGTATGGAGTCCCACATGACAAGTTGCAGAAACTGCTGAAGGAGAAGGTGAATCGAGTCAGTTTGCAGAGGTGAAAGCCATCCAGTTAGCGTTAGACATTGCTGAAAGAGAAAAGTGGCCAGTGCTCTATCTCTATATTGACTCATGGATGGTGGCAAATGCCCTGTGGCGGTGGTTACAGCAATGGAAGCACAGCAACTGGCAGTGCAGAGATAAAACCTTTTGGGCTGCTGCACTGTGGCAAGATACTGTGTCCTGGCTAGAGAATCTGGTTGTAAAAGTACATCATGTAGATGCTCACGTACCCAAGGGTCGGGCCACTGAAGAACATCAAAATAACCAACAGGTGGATCAGGCTGCCACGATTGAAGTGGCTCAGGTGGACCCGGACTGGCAACATAAGGGTGAGGTATTTATGGCTCCGGGGGGCCCCGATACTTCAGACCATCAGGGAAGAGATGCAACATATAGATGGGCTCATGATCGAGGGGTGGACCTGACCATGGACACTATCACGCAGGTTATCCATGAATGTGAAACGTGCTGCAATTAAGCAAGCCAAGCAGTTAAAGCCCCTGTGGTAGGGAGGACGATGGCTGAAATATAAATATGGGGCAGCCTGGCAGATTGACTACATCACACTCCCACAAACTCGCCAAGGCAAGCGCTATGTGCTTACAATGGTGGCAGCAACCACCGGATGGCCGGAAACATATCCTGTGCCCCATGCAACCGCCCGGAACACTATCTTGGGCCTTGAAGAACAAGTTTTATGGTGACACAGCACCCCAGAAAGAATTGAGTCGGACAACGGGATTCACTTCTGAAACAACCTCATAGACACCAGGGCCAAAGAGCATGGCATTGAGTGGGTATATCACATCCCCTGTCACGCACCAGCCTCTGGAAAAATCAAATAATACAATGGACTGCTGAAAACTACATTGAGAGCTATGGGGGGTGGGACTTTCAAACACTGGGATACACATTTAGCAAAAGCCACGTGGTTGATTAATACCAGAGGATCTGCCAATTGGGCTGGCCCTGGCCAACCAAGACTATCTCCTTCTACAGTATGTGGAAAAGTCCCTGTAGTGCACATGAAGAGTATGTCAGGGAAGACAGTCTCGGTTAGTCCTGCCTCAAGCAGAGACAAACCCATCCAAGGGATTGCTTTTGCTCAAGGACCTGGGTGCACTTGGTGGGTGATGCAGAAGGATGGGGAAGTTTGATGTGTACCTCAAGGAGATTTGATTTTGGGAGAGAATAACCAGTGAATTAGGCTGTATGATGTTAACTGCTAAATAACCTGCCAATGTATGTCATTGTATCTATAGTGGCTATATGCCATATCAAGGGTATCACAGTAAGAATTACCCAAATGAATGAAGGATGGACTTTGAAACTGAGCCAAGTGCAACAGTGATAGAACTTGAACTGGCACCCAGCGATTTCCTCAAGATCAACACCTTCAACCTGCAGACCAAGAGCGTGGGTTGCACCAAATGTACCAGCCGCAAGCTCCAGAGGCAGCATGCAACAACCCAACACCTCACACCATCTCTCTTATCCTGAAGGACTGTTAAAACAGATGGAGCTCCAAAGTCATGGACTAAAAATTGATGGACACATTAGAGGGACTGCCCATAGACTAAGGGAATACTATTTGTGTGTGTGTATATATATATATATGTATATATCAAAGACAAGGAAAGTGGTGGTGACTAGTTGGAAAATGTAGGATCTGGGCATGATGTAGATGGTATAGAATAAGGGGTGGATAATGTCCTGGGTTCAGCTGAGATAGAGCTAATTTTCACAGGAACCTGGGAGGGGGCACAGCCGGGGCAGCTGACCTGAACTAGCCAAGGAGCTATTCCATACCATGTGACATCATGCTCAGTATATAAATGGGGAGCAGGCTGGGGGGGGCCTCTCAGCTTTCAGCGGGGGAAGTGGTAGAGCATCAGGTTCCAGGTGGTGAGCAGTCGCACTGTGCATCACTTTTTGTATATTCTTTTATTAGTACTGTTGTTGTTGTTGTAGCTTCTCTTTTTGTGTTGTCTCAGTAAATTGTCCTTATCTCAACCCTCTAGGTTCCGGTTTGGTTTTTTGGGGTTTTTTTTTGTTGTTGTTTTGTTTGTTTTGGTTTGTTTTTTTTTCTCCTTTCTGATTCTCTTCCCTATCCCACCGGAGGGGGGCAGGAGGAGTGAGCAAGCGGCTGCGTGGTCCTTTGTTACTGGCTGGGCTGAAACCATGACAATGGGTGAAAGCTTAGTGGCACGTTCTACACTCAGCTCCTTTTCCAGTCATCAGTCTGGGATCTGCCCACAAGGCTCACTTTTTGCATCCCCTGCTAGTTCAAACAACAGCAAAATTGACTACTGGCAAATTCTTAATCTTGCCATTGCAGACATGACATGGGACGTCACAAAAACTTAACAGGAGGCAGCAAATGATTACACACAAAAAAAGATGTCACACCCATCTCTCTTGGAAACTGAGAAATACCACATAAAACCAGAATGCCACTATGGGAATACCACTATGGTTAAACCCTTCCAACCCTTTAACTCCAGGCTGCTAACAAGGTCACATGTTAGCACATAGATGGATGAACATAGATGGTGACAGATCACAGCATGATATAACTGGGCTTTTATTTTACTGGGTAGGCTACTATATCGGACAAACATTACGTGTATTTTTCTTTTGATTGAGACAAAAATCCTCAGCATAACCCACGACATATTTAGACTCTAGGTGAATCACGCCAAGCAGTGCAGGCAAACCTCCTCCTCACCCCCAAACAGGCTGACAATGCATTTTCTTCCTCTTGTGCAGTCATTTCCTCACCCAACAGAAACCACTGCAGTCACTTAGCTAGCATTAATACCTCACTTGCTCAGATTTATGTTTTACAGTCTTCATTTGGTGTCTTTTCTCTACCTACCTTCTAGGTTTTTTCTTTATTTACTAGCTCTGCAACATTTCACAGCACCATTTGCAGAAGCAGGTAATGGTACTTTGCCTTGGACACCACAAATACTATCCTTGCCTTGCTCAGAGAACTTTTAACAGCATAAGGAGTCTGGTCTCAGAACTCCAGTCACCCACCTTAACAAGTTTGCGCTGATGACCTGAAATCCCACCTGCTCCCTCAATGTTACCTTTTTAAAACTGAAGGCAAACACCCAAGTCAGCAGCACCCACGCCACTTACTCATCATCTTCTCGAGGTCTCTTCAGGGGTTTGGAGTCCTCTTTAGGAGATGCATAAAACCCATCATCATCTGGTTCATCTTTAATACGCGGTGGACTACAAAAAGAAGCAAAGAAAGATGGTTCTAACTTCAAAGAGAAAGTTTCTTGGACACCAGCAACAACTCAGTTTTAAGAAATTATCATCTGCAAAATGGGCATGTCTTCCAGTCCTGGAATGTGTTGTTATCTCAAGACCCCAAAGACCTGAGGTGTGTGCATATAAACATATATTCTCTGAATATCCACAGACAGCATAAGGAGAGAGTTATTCACTGTCTACGTATTTGTCATTTCTCAAGCAACATCAAGATTAATTTCAACTGCTTAGATTTCAACGTGTTTCTTTGAGGTTTTGAGTAAAACCAACTGTAGCTTCCGGCACTTTCAAACATACTTGAAAACAAAACTGAAATGCATGCACGTGTGCAGTCAAATAGAGGACGTTACTTAGTTTCAACTCAATAGCCTTATTGAGCCTGATAAGAGAGAAAAAGATTATCAACTAAACAAAGATTTGAAAGCTATTCCCCTGAATCTTTTGCCGACTAAGTAGAGGCATGTGAAAACCAGAAAAGGAAACAAAGATTTGGCAAAGTTAAACTCATCAGTCTTTTTTCACTGTCCAAACTGCAGGAAGCAAACAATCTTGTCCCTTTTAACAGACTGCAAATATTAAGTTAGGCTCAACATTTTCAGCCATAATGTCCCAAGACATCAGTTATAAGAAAAAAAATAGAGTATGAGTGCAAGAGAGACTATCCCTTTAAACAAACTCATTATTTCTAGATTTCACAGAAGCATTTCACTTATCTTCATAAAGAAAAAGATGTCTCAGAGTCCAAAATTACATTTTGAAGCACTTAGCAGTCCTCCACTCAGGTAGAGAAAGTAACAGTGCCATGTTGGGCTCTCCTATTCATATTCAATCAGCAATTTCTATATCAAATTGACTCAGTTTCCAAGTCAACATGCAGATTTTGCAATTGGATGGAGTGGGAGAAAAAAAAGCAGCATTCTGCTTTGTAGATCACAGTCAGCAAGAAACATTCTGGAGTCTTATTTTAGCTGGTAATGTGTCCATGAAGCTGAACAAGGCAGTTCACTCTTTCACAGCTGTAAAGCCACTGCAGCGCTGGCAGATGCAACTCAGGGGAAACAGATATGTGCTGCTATAAGAAGTCATTTCTGAGGCATTGCCTGCGATTAACCAAGACACAAGTCTGCAGCACATAGACAGTTGCAAAACGTTTATGGAAAAAGAGGTATTTGTCCCATTTAATTTATTCTCCCTTCCAGGCAGAAATCTAGAACTACTGTTTATTAAGTTGCTAAGAATTTTATCTAGTCTATTTTAACACTGAAATATTTCACAATGTTTTGTAATAGTGGGAAATAAAGTGTGATTATATTAAAAGAAAGGAGCTGTATGACCAAGCTGAACCTTGACTTGCATTGTTTCCAAGACCTTAACATTGCTCATCATACCAAGTCTTAAGGAAGAAAATCAAAACCATCTGAGTGAGGACATTTTTCTGTGGTGAACTTGTAAAAACATTTCAGAAGGAAAAAAGAAAATAATTACTTTCCTCTTAGCTAGCTTTTGGCCCTGAAAAAGGCACAATTATGATGGCTCCTCCAGGCTTTCCTCAAATACACACAAAAATGCTCTTGGACCTAAAGAGGACCCAGTTACCTTGATATGAGAACACCCAACATCCCCGGTGAGATTAGCACATGCATGCAATTCTACTGAATAGTAAAGACTAGAAAGAGTTGTTATTATTAACCTTCTCCTTCACCATGAAACACCTGAATGTCATCGCTTTCTATTTCTAGACTATCCCCAAAAGAGCCTGGAGAGGGCGCCTCTTCCCTGTGCCAAGCATAACTACTTAGTTTGCATTTTTAAATAGGAGTAAGAAAATGAAACAGATGGAGGAACTCGTGTCAAGAGGGCACATGCAAAATACACAAAGAATAACTAACAGGCATGGACTAGACAGGTGTCTTCTCCCAACCTCTCTGCAGTCTCTCCATGTTCTGTGGACACAAGGATTTTGTGGGTTTTGGTTTTTTTTTTTTTTTTTTTTTTTTTTTTTTTTTGTTTTGGGTTTGTTTTTTTTTTAAAGTGGATTCATAAAACTGGACACATGATTGAAAGCTTTTCTTGACTAACAGGTATGAACACATGCATCCACCACACCACAGACCTCCAATAAGTCAGTGGACCAGATTACCACCTTAAAAATAATCAGGGGCTGAACTTAACCAAAGTCACAAGACATCTTAGTCAACTATTAAGAAAAAGTACTCTTCTGTCAGTTGCTCACTTCAGGTTTTTAATAAGACTACTTAGTGATGACTGATACAATGCCCTAGTCCAGAAGGCTCTATTATTAGCAGGAATTTAGTAGAGTAGGACATCTAGGCATTTTCTGAAGGTACTTCAGACTTTATACAAGCACCCTCCTTACTCATCACTCCTCTGCAAAGGCTTTAGGCTGTAGTCACTTAAAGAAGAGACACTCGGAGGCAGTCTGGACTGCCCTTACAAGGCTCTGTCTCCAGAAGACTGCCTGCAGCATTCAAGTACCAATTTTACAATAGAGGTTCTTTCAACTCCAGCTACCAATGTTTCCATAGTTCCATCTGTCCTTGACAGAATTCAACTATTTAATACTTGGACAAACCCAGCATGTGCAGGCAGATACCAGGTATTCAACAGCTCCCATCTCCAATTACTAGGTAAGTAGATCAATTACCAATTCCTGTAATTGAGAAGAATTTATCTTGTCTGAAGGGGTCAAAAGCATTCCAGTTTTTTCCCCAAGACTAAGTGAGAGGAGTCAAACCTAAGAAAAGTCAAAACTGCTACTTTTTTTGAGATCATAGACCTGATTTCTTACCTGGAGAAGCCATTTTCCTTTTCCTTCTTTATTTTTATATCACCCGAAGATGATTTCATCTGAAAAACATAAAAAGTAGGAGCTGATTAGCACTGCCCAGAGCACCTTACGTATGTTTTTCCAACATGCAACACAGGCAGGATATTTAACTTCCACAAGGAACCAAAGGGCACTGTGACTATCTCTTCATTCCCTTAGCGACCTACATGACACACCAAAAAGGCAACATTTTCTGTAAGTCTTAGTCAATTCAGTAGTTTCTGGCCCTCCAATTTCTTCAACAGATTGGAGTTAAGTGTATATCCTTGCATGGAACTAACGTGAACAGATTTTTCTCCCTTGTCTCTGAATCTAAGCTTGGCAAAGTGAAAAGTAACAGGGGAAAAAATGTGGAGCCAGTGGACACAGCTCCATTATGGAAATGTTTCCATTCACAATACCTGCAGATGAAACCCCTAACAAGTTCATATCCAGCACTCCACAAGCCAGGTCTCTAGGTTAGCATTAGGACAATTCTCTCCAGGGTGATAAAAACTTGGAAGTACAAGCTACATCTAACCCACTAAGTTTGTACCATTCAGTAGTATAAACCAGAACCATGCTCGTCTCTCCCGCAGGAGACACCTACCTTCTCTTCCTTTCTCTTCTCCTTGTCTTTATCTTTGTGTTTGTCTTTGTGTTTCTCTGAGCTGCCATCTTTGTGTTTGGTTTTCTCCTTGTCTTTGTGTTTCTTTTCCGAGGAATCTTTGTGCTCACTGCAAGACAAAAGAGTATGTTTGCAGAGGGGAACACAGGAGATTTGACTAATACAACTTCCAGCAGTAGAGTCACAGGTTTCGATGATTACAAATCCCACAAAATACAGGATCACCTTAACAGGAAGATCCACTACAGTCTCCTGTCACATGTCATCCATTCTCCTCAGGAGGAAGAGGAACAGGAGGGGAACATACCACAAAATCACAGCCACCAAGTACTCCACTTCAGGAAAACCCCCATCAGCCTGGATTGCTGAGGAAATCCACAGCTGCTACACTTAAAGCTCAATACTTTAGGTTGAATTCCCACTGTGTCTGCTTTTCCTCTTTTTCCTAGTCCACATAAAAGGTCACTGGAATAGAGAGAGCTGCCAGTCCCATCAATGCCCATGTCAGCTTTTGCTCAGACAACAGTTTGTCATTGTAGCAGCTCTCATCTCTGGAACTTAAAGAGAAAACCGCTGATCTCTATTATTCCCAAACAGATGGGAAAACCACAGCAAACAGGATATGTGATGTCCTTGTGTTTATGCAAAGTCAAACAGAAAAGGCAGGAATAATGATGCAGTCCTCAGTTGGAGCTGTTTCATCAACTGTACCTCACCACCATGGTCAGTCAGCCCAGCTCTGCTCGGCTGAGATGACCCCACCACACAGAATGGGAACTCAAAGGTGTTTCCAAGCAAGAATCTGGTCTCCTAGTACTCAGAATCTGGAGCTACAGGTAACAGTATTGAGAGTTTATACACCCAAAATCCTTTAGTCAGAACAGCAGAAAAAATGTCCCCAAGGAGAAGAAAATCAACCTTTTTTTATTCCATTTCTACCCCCTTCTGATTTCTGAGACATTTGGGTAAATTTGGATCACATTTTCAAGTTTTTCTTATCAATGAGAAAGACACATGGCTGTTTTCAAAGGAAAATGCGTTTTCTCACAGAATGACTTCACCCTTGGAGCCAGAAAGTGAGGAAACGCTCTCAGGGGACTCATGACAGAAATGGCAAGAACTGGCCATAAGGACTAGCACCACTGTTGTGGAAGTCGAGCAGCAAGCCTGTCAATTCAACAGGCTTTCAATACACATTTGTAAGGTTGTGTGGACTCCCTGAGGTCACCCTGGGCCTAAGCAAGCCAAAGACATGATGGAAATCAGGCTCTCTTCTACTGGGCATGGTTAGGCACCAAGCAAGCTGCCTTCCTCGCACTGGCATTTCACACTCCTCCCTCCTCAGTGCTCTACTCCCATCACTACTGCTCTCTCCAGGATGCACTGTCGTTCTCCTTAGGACTACACAATGCAATGCAAAGCTTTACTAGAAATAAGCAGCTTCCTTATTTCAGTTACTTCAACAGTTAAGTGCGGGCCCAAACCGATTTGGGGGAACACAGCCGTGGAAAAACAGCGAGCTTGGAATGCCAGGTAAGAGCACAATTTTTAAAAAAGATGTACACTTCAAGTCTTCTTTCTATCATAAAAAGCAGACTCCAAAAGGGTTGGATGTTTGATGGCTACAGAAAGCAAGCAGCACATTAATCAGCTCCCATAAAGCTTGTGTGTGATTAAGAGGAAGGCAACCACAGTCACAAATATGCCAACCCACACCCAGCTGTAGAACTGCAGAGTAAAGTCCAACGTGGAGAGTTTCAGAGCCTCCTGTAACACTAGCATGAATGGACCCAAACTTGAAAAAGGTCTAAATTATTCAAGCTCAGAGTTGCACACACTCCAATAAATACACACCAGCCTTTCAAGCCCAAGCAGCTAAACCATGAAAATTCATATCTGAAGGAAATCAGTATATTCATGTACTACGTCACATTAAAAGGGATAAGTAGGAAGAGAAACCAGTTTCATTTTAACTCTCTAGCAACCTCTTTATACTACATATAAAACTGTAAAGCAGTATCTAAACACTAGAAGGCAACCAGCACTCCAGAAATTCTTGCAGATAGACACACAGCACCACATGTTGCCTGTGAGTGAAGCTTCAACAACTGCAAACTATTCTTACCCAGCAGATCGTGTTATGTACACTGCGTGATCAGGACATGCAAGTACATACACAGAACATCCTGACACTAGATCTTAGAAATCCATGAGATGCCTGCTACTCTTGCTCAGATTTGACATCCCAGTTTCTGTACCCTGTTTATTCATCAGTATCTCAGACTCAAGACACGTATTTCCTTTTCCTTTGCTCCAACTAGATTCATTGACTGTCTGAAAGCACAAACCCCACACATGTTACTACTCATTTCTGAAGTCGGAAAGATCTCGAAATTCTGACTTGGTATCTTATACTGTTATCTGTATATTAGGTACCTCATTTGCCAAAAAATTTTTACAATTACAAAGGTATATCACCATACCAGAAAAGCTGTAACGAACAAACATGCAAGGCTTAGACCCATTTTGTTCTCTACAAGTCTACTTGTTTCTATTTTCTGACTTTTTTCTTGTTCTTATTTGGTATTTCAATCCTACCTGAAATAACATGCTTTACTCAGACAACAATTTGCATCTTCAAAGCATGGTACACACCGCAATTGATGGAGTTAGTTCTCTAAGATAAAGTTCATGGCAGTGTCTGTTGCTTGGGAGTTTGGAATAGCAAAAAAAAAAAAAGGAAAAAAACCTTTAAGTTTTCAAAAGCACCATACTCATTTTTGCTAGCAGCCAAAAGCACTAGCTTTCAGTATGTGACTGGTAGAGCTCTGATGGACATAAAACATCACTAAAAGCAAATTGATAGATGACAGTCTACATCTGCAAAGCTAATACTGAAAAAGGCAGAAAATCCCATTGCCCTAGAGAAGCAGTGACAATTTTTATGTGTTGAATGCTTATGGACTATGGCTGGAATAAAAAAGTGCTAAGAACTTAGGCTTGCTTAAGTAGAAGCTCAAATAACATCCCTCTCAAAAGAGAGTAAGTGGACACCACTGAAAAGGTCCTTTTTATGTTATGCAATCTAATCTAAAGCTAAGAATTTTTAGCACCGGAGTCAAAATCAAGAAGTCTGGATTCCTGACTCAGCCTTTGGTGTTGGTTTTTTTTTGTTTTTAATCACAAGACTATCCTTCCCTTTGCTCTGCAGCAAGCAGTAAACTTCTCACCAAAGCAATGTGGGCTCAGATAACCCAAGGAAACTGTCTCCAGTTTCACTCTGCAGCTTCATTTTCAAAGCAACAGTATTGGTGGCTAGCCCCTGAGGTCCTGCTTGCTGCTGCTCCTGGTATGTGACTGGAAGAAATAACCCAGATAAAAATCTGATTTCATATGCTACTAGAGCATAAATTTCTTTCCCTCATTTGCAAGTAGACTGCTTGTCAGCCCTACATGTTTCTAGACACTGGACCACAGCTCTGATTTCAACAACTCAGTCCAAAATTTTCTCACATGGGCAATGATGAAGGCATGTGCCCCTCTTCCCTAAGAGGGCCTGAAATCTGCATCTCCCAGAAAAGCTGATTTGGAAATGTGCTGATAACGAAGGCCTCAAGCCACAACCCTGACAAGAGTAACTTTCTTTTCCTCCAAAAGCAAAGCAAGTTGCTCAGATATTAACTTCAGTCAGCAAGCTGAGCTGCTTTGGTCTTTCATTTGGCTAAGATAGTTACGCAAGCCTCCAGGGGAACACAATTTACCACCACATTAATCTCAAAAGAAAAGAGAAGGCAACAGGATGCCATCCTTACCCTGAAGAAGGAATTTCAGCCTTCTATCAGAAAGCTATTTCCAGACAACCCCAAAGGTATTATTAGGAGGGACTGGGAACAATTTAAAGATCAGTAGTCTGTCTTCCTGGCTGATTGAAAACTGGAAAAAAAAAAAATCACTTTTCTTTAAAGAAACCAAACACAACCAAACAAAAAGGTCTGAAGACCACATGCACCAAAATAATTTTATCCTGAATTCATTTGTTGGAGCACTGCAGATCCTTCATTACCTTTCTTGCACATAGCCCTCTGCCAACAAGCCAGCTTTAAGTCACCAAAGTAGAACAACAAAACCCCTGTAAGATAGAGGGAAACTTCAGTGCAAGTTAGCCTGAAAAGAGAATAATTGGGTCATAAAACAGTTGCTCACAATCCATTTTAGAAATACCCAGCCTTGCTGACAAAAGATCTTCCTTTTCACCCAGACCATCACAGTTGAACTGCTGCAACAGCACTTGGGAGTTTCACACCTCTGAAGGTGCTTAATGCTGACAACCTGCACTGTTCTTTTAGTTTAAAGGTACCAAAGTACAATAGGACACCATATTAATACAGGCAGAACCAGTGATTACATCATCTAGACACATATCATGGTACTGGCTTAGTTCAGACAAAGGCAAGATGAGTAGAAATGCATCTTGTAAAGCACTACAACCTTTTTGTTAGCTAGCTTACTGCCTTTCATTTAGAGGTTTAGTGTGAACAAGGACATCTGAAGGCCTTGGAGAGTTCAGGCTGAAGTGCATGAAGCAGTAAATGCAACAGAAGCAGCCGTTTCCCTTGAAAGCATGGCTGTATTTCCCAGTGAGGATGCCTGCAGGAGGACAGGAGGGAGGAGAGGGAGAGGAAGGGAGAACAGGCACCTGGCAGCAGCTGCTCAGGCTACGATCACATGGGAAAGTCACAAGTGGAAAGTGTTTCCAAAGAATGGCAGATGTGCAGATCACAGCTTCCTTCTTCAAACTACAACAGCTTTGCAGTAATTTAACACTGCATTCTTCAGGTGCCATTTATGTACATTAATAATCCCTTCCCAGGCCCTTTCCATTCCAGCTTCAAAATCACAAGCTGGGAAGGATGCTTTATCTAAAGTGTCTCTTATTTCCTCTGTCTCATATTCTCAGCTGTAATTAGCTCGTGACTGGGAATCTGCTACTAGCAAGCACCAGAGCCTGCTGCAAGCAGAGCTTTTCTTGCCTACTCAGGAGCTGCTACAATGCAATTGAAGCGTGAAATAACAGGGAGCTGTGATTTTAGTGAAATCTAAAAACACAAT